TCTTCGAAATAGTTACAAATATTTTATAATAAATTTTTCTATATACAATAAATTTTATTCCAACTATAAATAATTCCATGTTTATTATTTTTCTTAATATAGAGAAAAAGAAATATAGGAATAATTTTTCTGTAACTTCTTGCTATTATTCATTATATTGTTTTTTTTTTATTTTATTAATATCTGATAAATTGTTATTGCTTAATCTACTAAATGAAAGTATTTTTCCACCTGTAATTAGAAATTATTTCTAAAATAAATATAGATATATATAATTATGTAAGAAATTCTTTTTCAAATACTATAAAGAAAGAAGATTTCTTTAAAAAAAAAAAACAGGATATTTTGCTGTGTTGTCTATTTAAAATTAATTGATCGAATTTTTTTTTTTTTTGATAGAAAATTTTTTTTTCATAGATAATTGAAATAAATATAATATTTATTAATTATTTTATTATCTAATAATGAAATATAATGAATTAATTATTAAGAATTAAATAATGAGAAGTATATTTATAAACAATGTAACTGTTGGTGCGCTAGAATTTATGAATCAATAAAGGATGGAATGTTGGAATAGGCAATGTGGTTATGAAATAAATAGAATATAAACTTCTAATTGTAACATTTATTTTCAGTTCTGTTTATTAAAATATCGTTACATCTTAACTGCATGTACAGGTTATTTTATTTTGTCTTGCTCTTATTTTATATTTTAGTAAATGACGTGTTAATTCGTTTCAAAGTGAACGTCTTTTTTTTCCCTTTTCTTTTTTTTTTTTTTTTTTTTAATTTATATCGCTTTGGCACGTGCATTACGATGAGTCTTTTAACTCGCAATTTCTTCTATTTCTTTTTATATGTATATCTGCTTATATGTATGAGAATAACGAAGTAATAATTCATCTTTAATATCCAGTTTCAATTAATTTCGTTCAAATTCAATGAAAAGAACTGCTTAAACAACATACCGACGTCATGAAAAACAAATAAATAAATATATTTACGAGTTTCTTTATAATATATGAGTACAAACTTGTATTGATTCGTTAAATAAGTACTGGGAATATAAAAACATTTAATAAGATAAACCTAATATTTTAAAAATAAAATATAACGTCGTGAATTAGATTTATAAATATTATGTTTGTGCACAACTATTACATTTGTTGCCCGCAATTGTTTCTTTCTAATAATTCTCTCATTATTTTCCCTCGAGTTAAATAAATCTGCACAGCCGGTTTTCTTCATATGATGCGACTGTGTTATCGAGCTGTATTTAGTGGTTTAGTTTTAGTTTTAGTTATTAAAGTTAAGATTTCGCGTTAACTAGCGGTTTACATTTTAAACTTTACAATACAAAGTCTTTCTAGCGAGGGGAAAACTTTTCTTATATAAATCAATATCACCAATTAATGTTCATTTTTAATTCTTTTGCATGTATACAACATTATATACATATGTACGGAACCTCGTGTACTTATGCTCGCTTTTTCCTATTTTCAACACCTTAATTAATTTCTTCGCAGTTGATACCTCATTTTCAACAAATTCATATTTTACATTACGATACTAACTATGTGAATTACTGCTGAGTATATTTTTTTGTATGTGAGTATATTGAAGGTATACGTGATAATAGCAAAGATGAAAATATACATTTTTTCTTAATACGTAATTATTGCACCGAATTTTCGAATTAAAACACGTGACTAATATACTCTAAATATATATTATTTATCGTCATTCTACAATGATTAATTACAATTTTTTGAATATAGCAATATAGGGATAATATTAAACAAAATATTAGCTTCGTCTTTTGTGACACAGGACTTACAATGACCTTCAGGGTACATGAAAAATGTATTATGTACACGATCGTGTGTGAAATTAATCGTTGTATAATTTATGAGAAGATAACGAAAACACTAATACCGAAATTTTATAATATATATATATATATATATCAATTTTTGGTTTTCATGATTATACTTTACCCTGTGTACGGATCGATAATACATGGATGTTCGACGATTACATAATGTCGAGTCGTTCGTTCTCAAGGCGAATTCCTCATATACCCTTTTATTTCTTTCTACTGCTATAAATTATTATAAATTATTAAAATATAAATTACTGTACACGAATGTCTAATATAACTATAGTTTCTATTTTACTTATTTGTATAATCGTTAACAGTTCATAACATTTTATGATTCATTTGAATTATAAAACAATTAAATCGAAATAATCGAAAAATATTTTAGTTTTTTAACCGTTTAATCGAGTAGCTACATTACGAAACATTTATAAATATATAATAAAAAGGTTACTTATACGTATGAATAATTACAAATGGATATATCACTTATACATATTTTACTTTTACTCTGAGATGTTATAGGATTTTTGGTAAATAGTATTTTACAAATTTAAAGTAGAAAAGTAGCTTCTAAAATGTGCAATTATTATCGTTTCAAATATCTTAAATACTTAGTAGTGATGTTATTTTGTACTAATACGTTTTTGTAATAATAATAATAATAATAATAATAATAATAATAATAATAATAATATGATTAATTTATTATTAATATCAGAATTATATGTTTAAGAAATATTTTTTTTTTTGGTCTGTTATTATTGTAAATGGGATGGATGATCGAATACAATAAGTCTTAAAGAAACGAAAATTTTTTATTGTTAATTTAATTAATTAACAATATATATATATATATATATGTGTGTGTATGTGAAGTAAAAACTCCCTAACTTTAAATACAATATATTAATATTTTATTTTTTCTTTCGTATTTTATGAATTCAGCTTAATAGAAGTAAGTTAACATTTTCGAGCTTTACCAGTTCTGAAGTTTAAATATACCAAAAAGTTTCCGAGTCACTTGCTATATTATTTCTGTTCAAAAGATAATAAAATTTGTAGTTATAGAATAGAAAAAAAGCGAAAAAAAAATTTCATAAAGCCATTAAAAGGATTTAAGTTAAAGGATTTTCGTATACGAGTTAAATAACATTGTGTTAATAAATTAAAGTGATTTTAAAGGTGGATAAACTAATTATTCAACTGTCTAAAACTTATTGTATTTAAAAAATCATCGACATATTCTATATATTAATGACATAGCTTGAACATTTAATGAAAGTATATTATGAGTTTCAATGTTAGGATATTCACCTTGAGTTTTCAGACATACGCCACGGAAATTACACAGCAAAAGCATAAGAATTCTGCCAAGAATTTCACTTCCGTCATTTATTTGGCTGAAGATTAATTCGCGACAAAATGAAACCGAACATTAATGCGTGATCTTTCAAATCTTCCAATTATTTCCATAATATAAATAACAATATCTATCTTTTATCTTATCGTAACTTATTTAGAGATACTGTGTACAATATTTACTTGCATATTTGTCTCTTACAATGTACAACCTTATAATAGTGACAAATCATTCGCTATTATTTCACTGTACAGATCTTATAATGATTAATATTAGGTACCGTAATTACAGATATAGTTACAGAAAGAAATTGAAGTAACATTGATGAGTGTGATAACAAAATATATGAAGTAAATCCCCAATATAATTCTGAGCATGTATCGTTACTCGAGTATAGCAAATATTTTTTACAATGTACACTATTAAACTTAAACAGCGATTCTATGAAGAATAAATTTTCAATTAAATTATTTAATTCGTTATATTTGATTAAAATTATTGTAAACGAACAACAAACTTTTTTATCTTAATTATTTAACAATTTGTAGTTTCTTATTATTGAATTTCAGCGATAATAAATATCATTGAACTTTATTTCTCAAATAATATGTACGATAATATAATTTATTATTTCATAACTTTTAACCTGAAATAAAACTAAATGACTTAATGGTATGTTTAATACTATCATTGATAAAGAAAAAGACAATGTATCGAGGAGTTAAAAAGAAAAAACTTATGCAGCAACTTATGTGACATTAATAAAATTATATTAGATGCATTGGGAACAAAAGAATTTGAGTAACGCTTGCAACATATAAACACGATCCAATTTTATTCAATAAGAGATTTAATTTTCCATTGTTGAATCGATAAAACCTAAATAACGATACATGCTATATATATATATATATATATATATATATATAGATAATATGTTAATACGATATTTAATATTTTCTTTTTTATTAGAAATTTGAAAGAAGACTCTGAGTTTCTGAACGGTTAAAAAGATGGACGGGTTAATTTTATGATGCATTTCTCTCTTTCTAATCATTCGTGTTATATATAGATGACGCTATTTATGTCAATTTTAGATGCGACGACTCGATTTAATTAGAGCTACATATATGAATAAATATAATGTATCGGATCTAAGAAAAAAAACATTAAATAATATATGTGCGCGTTTGCAAATATAATGGCAAGTATTGACAGAGGTAAAGAATAAGAAACAAGGACGATTCAAAACGAGAACGGATATAAAGTATCAGTATTGTACTGAATATGTATATATTCTTTAAGTTACGTTTGATTAATAGAAGCATTTCAAATACTCAACGAATCATTGACAAATAACGAAAATATAGAACAATCTTCACTAGTTTCGTAGCTCGTATATATATATATATATATAACATATATAACATATATATTTTAATTGTAATAAGAAGAATAGAATGTAGTAATCGTAGGAAGAAAAAAAATTTAAGATATATTTCCTCATGAGATTCGCTCAATGTAAATTTATTTTCGTTTCTATTATTTGCAATTCTAATGTGATAATCGGGATAACATTGGAAAAAGTTTGGTCGATACTTTAGACTTTTTTTTGTCTTTGTTACAAATGATTTTGTGCATGTAACATTTAAAATTTCAAGAACTTTAACTAAACTTGAATGCTTTATGTTAGACCTAATTACACATAAAACATTAGAAATAGTTTTTTTTTTTTTTTTTTTTTTAATGCACTATATATACCCATTTGATACAATGCAAATTGTTATTTATGATTTACTTCCTTGTTATCCTGACAATTTGTAAATTCTTATGTGTGAACGAATTTGAATAATCATTAAAAGCTACGGGTAGGCATGCCATCATATGGCGCCAACAATCACCGCGAAGATGTTACGTCAGTCGATTTGATCCCATAATGCACATTCTAACGTTGTAAAAAGTTTAAGCATATAATATTACTTAACGACCTCTGGCAAATGGGTCCCTTACAAGAACAATAATAACATTGTGTATATTTGATGAATATCGACGGACTCGTTCCATTATATTCCTTAATATTTCTCTGTCTATTTCTCCCTCTCTTCCTTGCATAAATAAAACGCAGGTGGGAACGTACGAACAGACGCCACGCACGCTCGCAAACTTACACACATACGCGCAAATGCACAGACTCTCTATCGCACTCTAACTCTTTCATATACATACATCTCAACTACATTAAAAGATGGCACTTTAGGGGTGAAAAATATTATGCGACGAGCACATTCTTACAAAAGTTCTTCGCTGTCGTCGGAGACGCCGTACATTTGTGGTATGCGATCATCCTGTTGATGAATTTGCTGTTGTTGCGGCTTATTTCGGTTTTGAAGTAAAGCAATACTCGCGGCCTTGTAATTTATCGGCCCGTAAGAGCGATAGTCTACGTCAGCGTAGTCCAAATCGGAGAACTCCGGCTTGAATGGCTGCAGAACATGAAACAGACGACAAAAGCGAAAATCTTTTTTATTAAGTGAACGGATAACGAGGAGAAATGTGTGGGAATCGCTGTACTTTATAAATCGAAAACTTCATAATATTATGTACGACCTTGCCAATGTTAATGCACTTTCCAATCGTTCGTTTGACTCTCAACAGATATTCAAGTTTAAATTATCGAGACGATCCTACGGATTTTATACATTTAACTGATATTTTATTTCAAGTATGATTGAATTTACAATTCATGCGATACCATCGATTTATGACAAAGACGCGTTCTTTGTAAATATTTTAAATTAGTTAAGGAAATCTAATATAAATTTCATATTACTTTATCAAATGTGTAATAAAAATTGAGGAAAAACTTTAGAAATTTAAGGAAAACTTTATTTAAAGAATATATTATAAATACCACTTGTATATTTCCATTATTGAAACAATGCTTTATTATTACTTAATTTAGTCAAATAAATAGCAAGAAAATTAATAATTCTTGGGTGTTCATATGTCGATAGATAATTGATTAAATTTCCCAAATTTATGGTTTTTTTTTTTTTTTTTTTTTTTTTTTTTTTTTTTGAATTTTTTTTTTTTTTTTTTTTATTAATGCTTGAGAAATCAATGATTTTGTAGTTAATTCTATTGCTTGATTATTTGTAGAATTTTCATAAGTAATGGAAAATGTTAAATAAATAATTCAATGTATTTATACATAAATATATTTTTGCGAAATTGAGAAAATAATTTTTATTGAAATAATGAATTTATATATTCATATTAAATTTCTATTACATTCTATTTACATTTATATCCTCAAAATATGTAACAAGTTTTTAATGCTGCAGATACCATTTTCGATCATTTTTATACTTCCGATTAAATTATGAACACGCGATGAAATATTATATTACATATCATTTCAATTACAATATTAGTATTTGACTTTTTAATGTAAAATTTCGTTACGTAATCAAGCATTCGAATGCAAAATTATATGGAAATTTTTACGTAGGACACATATGCATTAAATGGTGTTTAAAAAAAATAATCTTGTGTTGATAGCAAAATTTTACCACTATTTTATATATATAAATTTTATTTCCATCTATTTATTATCATAGATCACTCACTAGAAAAAGAAAACTCAATCAGCTGAAATATATAAACAAAGGATTTACCCTATGAAATGGAAAAACACATTGTGCCATATATTTAGTAAGAAAATTTTAATCAACTGTTAGTAATTTTATCTAACTCTAACTGTTAAAAATTCTAAGCAATATCTAATCGATGGAACATTCATACTTTTCTTTTACAATTTAACCGATAAGAATTTAAAATATCATAGAAATTAGAATTATTATTTATTTAAGCACGCGTGCAATGAAAGTTTATAAATATTTTATCATGTGCAATCAAGATTATTACGTTATTATTAGTATCAAAAAAAATTTATTCGAAATAGAATTTAATATGATAAAATGATTTTAAAAGTCAACTTTAGCATCATCTAATTAAATATATCTTTAATTAATTTCCAAAAGGTTATATAATATTACATGTTACTAAACATTAATAATTACACGACGATTAACGATGTGATTGAATTTATCGAATTAATATAATTCAAGAACAAGACACAAATTGAAATTCACATTATTTTTGGAATTTTTCAAAATAAAACAATTGTCAATTTCCTAAACATCGAAATAATTACATTTGATATTCAATTGTATTTCATTATTATGTTAAATTAATTTTGTATATACTTGACACTTTCGAAATAATTACTATTAATTAATATTTTTATTGCTATTATTAAAATAATTGCGAATGAAATCTTTCAATAATATTTCTCTGAAAATTTGTTAATTTTAGCAAAAGAATATATAATTCATTCTTTGAATATAATAATTATAAACACGAGATGGAATGTCATCTAGTTTATTATACTAATTTTTTATTACCATACTTTTGATACTTTATTATTTGAGTTGAAAGATCATTTTCGCTTTTATCACCTAACTTCAAAGTAGATTAAAGTTTTCAAATAATGGCAATGGGATAAATTTCGTTACTGCAGATTTTTTAAACATTAATTACGAATTTATTTATGAAGATTTCACAGCATCAAATACGTACGTTACGTGATACTTTGACAGAATCAAATAAGTACATAAACCAATACAATGATTGTCGCTATTTTTCTATTTAAAGTATTTTACCATTAACTGTGCATCTACATGTATTATTATTTTTTTTTTTTTTTTTTTTTTTTTTTTACGCTTTTAAAACGACTGAACACTGTATTTCCTGATTATTTTCAAAGCAAATGGCTGTATATTAGATTATATCAAGTGATTGCATGTGTACAAGGATTTGCTTCAATGTATGTATCACGTTTTTTAGACATTTATTTTTAGGTATTAGTTAAAGTTTTATTACTGCATATTCTTTAAAATTGCCGAACAGTAAGCTTTTGAATTTTGAAATAAAAACTTTCTGTAGGCATCTATCGCCACGAAGATTTTAGATTATGTAAATAAATTTGGTACATTGTATGTAGTATTTCGGTGTTTGCTATCATATACGTTAATTTCACATATACGTGCATCATTCCTTATGCATTCAAAATCGTTGAATGCTGATTTTCACAGCAATTTTAAAATAATACTTTACGTGTCTTTTTTTATTTTCTATAAGATGCTTGAATCTTAATAAATACTTTGTTTAAAATACAATTATCATTGCCATTTTTATATCACTTATATTATAAAAATCACCATCCGTTATGAAATTTATAACTATAATAAAATTTTATCCTTCAACTTCAACTTCTATTCGGGTTAGTGATTAAATGGGTGGAAAGAAAATACGTTTATATACAAACAAACGAAAAATAAAAAAAAAAAAAAAAAAAAAAAAAAAAAAAAAAAAAAAAAAAAAAAAAAAAAAATTATTTAAGAATATTTTTATTTAGAAATCGAGAAGAGCTCAATGTATAAATAAATTTTGTTCAGTAATCCTAAAATATAAAAGTTGTATTTATAAAGTATACTTCATTAAATCATTTCAATCTCATTATATATAAAAATTGTAATACAATATAGTCATTACGAAATAATTTTTTCTACTACGATGACCTATATTTTCATTCAACGAATCATCAATAATAAATATTAATAATAATCATATTTAAGAGCATAGGTCGATAAAAAGTAGTATTAGATATTCCAGTACTTGTAAAAAATTTATTTTCTCCATTTTCTTACCGAGCTGCTCTTTCCATTAATAGACGACTTTCACAACTCAAACTGTCTTAGTCCCATATATAACTAATATGTGAATACATAAAATACGTTAATTCGGAGCTGTGTATATGTAAGGTCTCATAATACAAAATTCAATTGCCGAAAAACCTTGTGAATAATATTATAATAAAATATTTACTTTAATGTGATTTATGAGTAAAAAAATTATGAAAAAAAACTTTTAAAACTTTACGAAATTTATATTGAATGTATGAAAGCGTTATACGAATATAATATTATTTATTAATATTCTAAGGTCATTGTAATTAGAATCTCACAATTTAAATATAAAAAACATATTATTTTTTTTAAAGATGATAAAATTTAAATGAGTTAATTTTACTTAATAATATTTTTATAAATCAGGATAGAAATTAAAATATGTATTTCTGAATTAGTTATTAATATTATTTTGTTAAAAAAGATACTTTAAAAAGGAAGTTAATATCACATTGTAAACGGAATGTTATTAAAGTGCTTGTAAAAATAACAAAAAATTAGCCGAATAATAATTAGATAGTTTATAAGATTATATCATTTATAAGATTTATAAGGAAGGAATGAAAATGAAGTATAAAACTTTAAAGGAAATTTTATAATAAATTATTTGCACGATTTTATCTTATTCATTACGTAAAAAATTATGTACATACATATACACATGCAAATATGCATATTATAGGTATATATATATATATATATATATATATATATATATATATATATATGTGTGTGTGTGTGTGGTCTCATCATGAAGATCGTCAATAATCTTTTACGCACACAAAGTTTCATGTCGTTGAGCGGGGGCTGAGCCTTTTCTATTCCCTATCAGAGACTAAGTATGTAATTTATCCATATACATAGAGGAAATAATTTCATGAAATAATTTAATTTCGTATATTTGAGGTGGCTGACGTTTCATATAGTAGCGTTGTAATTTGTAACACAGACAAAAAATAATTATTGGCAACACAGTTTTTGAATGAAGAAATGTATAGTCATATTGTTACTCGTTGTTTGTTGACTATAATTTAGCATTTCTGCTAAAATAACGTTGAAACATTCTATTTAAATGATAATTAAACACAACAAGGCATTATTATGTTCTGCTTTTGAAATTATTAAAAATATCACTATCAATCGCAAATGGCGATAAATTAATTTACAGCTATGTCTTCTTTGTATTATCACAGAGATGACAACAATTGAAGAAACATAAGAAAATAATTATTAAAAAGTGATTGTTTACATACATAAAATAACATTGGCACAATATGATTATCGAAATTCGTGACTTATACAATTTTTATAAAAGAAAGTACGAGCTTCAACAGATTTGTCAGAATTTCAACAGATAATCTTTTAACACATATTTTTAAAATTCGATTCTAGTCGACCTGGGGATCCATATAAGCGTTATGCTTAAAATGTGAGGGAAAAAAAGTTTTGCGAAAAACACGTTTCAAGTTTCTGCTTACAATGAAAAGAGTATACGCGCCGCTTCAATTTTTCAGCTACCAAATCAACAATTTTAAGAAGTTCCGTATAAACTGCATGGCTTTGTGTTATCGAAATATTTTTTTTTTGTTTTTTTTTTTGCTTCTTTTTCTCTTTAAATAAATACAATCGTATTCATGTCTAATTTTTCCCTTAACTGTGACTGCATTACATTCGACATGTAGTGACGACTCGATGAGCATACATACCCATTATTTTATTCGATATACTCGAGATTTCGAAAATATTTGAGATTATGGTGTACAATACTGAAATAATCAAAAAATTCCATTAAATTAAGTACATGTTATGTATAGAGCGTCTATAGCGTCTGAATACTCGTTACACTCGCTCGACATTTTCTATGAAAAAATATCGATAGTTTTTTTGTTTTTTTGTTTTTGTTTTGTTATTGTTTTAATTTTTTTTCGAAAAGAATACACTGACAATATTGCATTGTATTTCGAGTCATAAATCAATGTTTAACCGTACATGTCAATTAAAATAATTAATTTTGGAAAGCACGTTGGAATTTAATATTTTTTTCTCTTTCTTTTTTAAGATATTTACTAATCTTTTTGATAATTGTAGATAAAATTTATCAGTGCGCAATCGTTTAATAAATCTTCGTTTTCTTATAATTATTCATGTAAAAATTGAAATCTAATGTACTTACTGCATTTGAGTTTGAATAACATATGTTAGAATAGTAGCAGAATGCTTAATAACGAATCAAAGAATAAAAGAGTAAATAGTTAGTATTTTCAAACAAAACGACATGCAACATAATATGAATAAAATATAAACTTACTATTAACGATATTTGATGTTTTAGTGATTTGCTCGTTTAAAGTTTCGTGGTATTAGTAGCGGTAGGTAAAGCATTATCAACGCCCTTACCGATCCTGAAAATTTGTTGTCTCCAAATACGCAATAATCAGGATAAATTTAACAAAAATTCCCAAAGCATATAATCAACACTTTGAAAAATAAAATTTAAGTACAACACATAATACGTAGATAACCCTTGAGAATTTCATGAGCTTTAACCATCTATCCCACAGGAAGCTTATCGTTGGCTCAG